CCACCCCGTGCTCTGCCTTCCCCGCCCCAGCCCGTGCTCGGCCCGCCCCGTCCGCGCGTCCTACCCCAGGAATTCTGCCGCCAGCTCCTTGCATATTTGAATGCCTGCCTCTCACTAGAGATCTTGCTGCAGCCTAGATCCTGAGAAGGGGGATCGGGAGGGCGAGGGAGGAGCAAGGAGCCGTTAGCCTCGGAGCAGGGATGGGACGCCGCGGTGGGGAGACCTGGCTCTATTCTTTCTGGCTGTCTGCTTCCAAGCTGGAAAGGTTTGTGGAATCTTGGAAAAAATTGGGGGAAGGCGGTTCTTAAAGAATATCTTATTTAGGGAACGAGCGCTAATGTGCCAAGTTCTAGGTGCTGGAGATGGCAGCAGTCGACAAAACAGTTAAAACTCCGTGCCAGGGCTAGGTCTAGAGTGAGGGGAGTGAGGCATTTTCGTGGGGAACGCTCAAAACTCAGTAATCAAGATAAATAGTATTTTCATGCAATAGTTTGAAATTTCAAAATTAAGGCAGAAAAGCTCACAATGAACAAAATAATCAAGAATTTAAAAAAAAAAGACGGATCGTGCCCTGCCCTTGCAACCGCGCACCTCACTGGCCTCACCCTAGCCTGGGCCCTGCCCCTGCCTCGTGTAGCTGACATTACAGTGGGGACAACAAAAATAAGATAAACAAGTGTTAAAATAAAATCATTATTAAGCCAGTAATAGAAACTGACTGAATTTTATTTAATATACTATTTGCAAATTGGGGCAACATTTCTGAGGAAGAAAGACCCTTCACAGATTCATATACTCCAGCTTATAGCAAGTAATCACACAATGCCATGGAAATAACCTGTGGACATGCAGGATTCCTTATAACATTTTCTTGACAGACAATTCAAATAATTACTGATTGGCCTTAAAACATAACTTCTAGTCTGACCTTTGGAATTGCTGCTGTCAAAACTGACTGCACATGGGTAATTCTTCAAAAGAGCACAATATATGAGGCAAACATTGTTTACTAACTAAGCTAGACTGTTATTTGACTGAGCCCTGGTGGTGCAATGGTTGAGCGCTTGGCTGCTAACAGAAAAGTCAGCAGTTGGAACCCACCACCTGCTCCCTCAAAAAAAAGACCAGGCGATCTGCTCCTGGAAAGACTGTTATTGTTAATTGTTAGATGCCATCGGGTCGGTTCCAACTCAGCGACCCTATGTACAATGGAATGAAACACTGCCCAGTCCTTCGACATCCTCACAGTCATTGCTGTGTTTGAGCCCATTGTTGCAGCGACTTTGTCAATCCAGCTCTTTAAGGGTCTTTTTCTTTTTCATTGACCCTCTACTTTATCAAGCATGATATCCTTCTCCAGGGACTAGTCCCTCTGATAACTTGTCCAAAGTACATGAGAGGAAGCCTCACCATCCTCACTTCCAAAGAGCTTTCTGACTGTACCTTTTCCAAGACGATTTGTTCGTTCTTCTGGCAGTCTATGGTATATTCAATATTCTTCACCAATACTATAATTCAAATGCACCAATTCTTCTTCAGTCTTCCTTATTCATTGTCCAGCTTTTGCATGCATATGAGGTGATTGAAAATACCATGGCTTGGGTCAGGCGCACCTTAGTCCTCAAAGTGACATCTTTGCTTTTTAACACTTTAAAGAGGTCTTTTGCAGCAGATTTGCCCAATGCAATACATTGATTTCTTGACTGCTGCTTCCAGGGGTGTCAGTTGTGGATCCAAGTAAAAAGAAATCCTAGACAACTTCAATCTTTTCCCAATTAATCATGATGTTGCTTATTGGTCCAGTTGTGAGGATTTTTTGTTTTCTTTATGTTGAAGTGTAATCCATACTGAACGCTGTGGTCTTTGATCTTCATCAGTAAGTGCTTCCAGTCCTCTTCACTTTCAGCAAGCAAGGTTGTGTCATCTGCATAACGCAGGTTGTTGATGAGTCTTCCTCCAGTCCTGATTTCACATTCTTCTTCATATAGTCCAGTTTCCCTGATTATTTGCTCAGCATACAGATTAAGTATGGTGAAAGGATACAACCCTGACTTAACACCTTTCCTGACTTTAAACCATGCGTTATCCCACTGTTCTGTTTGAACAACTGCCTCTTGGTCTATGTACAGGTTCCGAATGAACACAATTAAGTGTTCTGGAATTCCCATTCTTCATGATGTTATCCATAATTTTTCATGATCCACACAGTCGAATGCCTTTGCCTAGTCAATAAAACACAGGTAAACATCTTTCTGGTATTCTCTGCTTTCAGCCAAGATCCATCTGACATCAGCAATGATATCTCTCGTTCCACCTCCTCTTCTGCATCCGGCTTGAATTTTTGGTAGTCCCTGTGGATGTACTGCTACAACTATTTTTGAATGATCTTCAGCAAAATTTTACTTGCATGTGATATTAATGATAAACCAAAAACCAAACCCATTGCCGTCGAGTCAATTCCGACTGATAGTGACCCTATGGGACAGAGTAGAACTGCCCCATAGAGTTTCCAAGGAGCTCCTGGTGGATTCAAACTGCCGACCTTTTGGTTAGCAGCCATAGCTCTTAACCACTACACCATCAGGGTTTCTGATATTAATGATATTGTTTGATAATTTCTGCATTCTGTTGGATCACCTTTCTTTGGAATGGCCACAAATATGGATCTCTTCCAGCCAGTTGGTCAGGTAGCTATCTTCCAAATTTCTTGGCATAGAGGAGTGAGCACTTCCAGCGTTGCATCTGTTTGTTGAAACATCTCATTTGGTATCCCATCAATTCCTAGAGCCTTATTTTTCACCAATGCCTTCAGTGCAGCTTGGACTTTTTCCTTCAATACCATTGGTTCTTGATTCATATGCTACCTTTTGAAATGACTGAACATTGATCAGTTCTTTTTGGTACAGTGACTTTGTGTATTCCTTCCATCTTCTTTTGATGCTTCCTGAATTGTTCAATATTTTGCCCATATAATCTTTCAAAATTGCAACTCGAGGCTTGAATTTTTCCTTCAGTACTTTCAGCTTGAGAGATACGGAGTGTGTTCTTCCCTTTTGGTTTTCTAACTCCACGTTTCATTATAATACTTTACTTTGTCTTCTGGAGCTGCCCTTTGAAATTTTCTGTTCAGCTCTTTCACTTCATCTTCCATTCGCTTTCACTATCTATGTTCAAGACCAAGTTTCAGTCTCTTCTGACACCCATTTTGGTCTTTTCTGACAAACTGACACGAGTGGTGGCTGGAAAGATTATAGCCTAGGAAACCCTGTGGGACAGTTCTACGCTGTCATATAGGGTCATTACGAGTCAGAATTCACTGGACGGCACACAACAACAACACTGGTTGATTTAAAGGTTATTTTCAGGAGATCAGTTTTTGGCTCAAGGTTTAAGATTCAAAGATCACCTCTGAGCAATGGTCTCAGGTGAGTCATTTTAACCTCAAGGGCTCCAGGAAGTCTGGTTTCCATGAGAATTACAAATTCCATTCCTCACAAGCAAAATATGTTGTACATGAGGCAGTGATAAGTGCTATGGAGAAAAAAGAGAAGGCTGAGAAGGGGGAGAGAGAGGGGCACAATTTTAAGTTGGTCAGAGAAGGTGTGAATCATGGGAAGGTGACATTTCAGCTTCTTGAGGAACTGCCTGCAGGTGCTGCTCCCCCTGTTTCACCATCAGAAGAAACAGAAATAGGAGAAACTCGTTATCTGCTGGCTCAACCTACTGGCTGTGTCAGTTCACTCAGAGAAGCAGGAACTCAGCAGAAGCCCTGGTGGGATTGATGCTGTTACATGAAGCATATTACAAAAAACCTTGATTCTCTGTACCCATGGAAGAGAGAGGGAAATCTATAGACAAATCAGAGGACAAATTGAGAGGAACTGTAGGCAATATAAATCTTGCATATTGAGGTCCCTGATTTTTGTTGAAACTCAGAAATAAGATGAATGCATTGTAGCTAAACTCTAAATATTATCAAGACTTGACTTCTATCTGTTTGGCTTTTTTTTTTTTTTAACACAACAGTGTCTACACAAAGTAGAGAACACTTCTCTGAGTGAATGCCACCCACCTGAGAAAATTCCAAATTATGTTTGTAAATACTACGGCCTTCAGTGTGCTGACGGAAGAGGTGTGTGGAGGTTCCTGGTGAAAGCGTCCACCCATGGTGAAGGGAAGCCTTCAGGGAGCTGAAATTCTGGGTGGGTGGAGTCGAGGCCACCTGGCCAGCTGTTCCTCCCCACCTGGAGGATGTCCTCTGTGGCTGGCAGCTTTGAGCTTCTGCGTGTTTCCAAATGAGGAAGGTGACTGTCTTCCTACGCATCTCTCACCCTCAAACACTTGCATGGGGGCCAGCCCAGTCAGTTCCTTCAGTTCCACTTCACTGCTGACCCTTCTGGACCAACCAGCCTTGAAAAAAACTTTCTCGAGGCCCTTCCTATTTCATGAAGCTTGGGCAACACGATGTCATCCCGCTTCTGGCGCCTCCCTAACACCATCCACTAGCCTTTCCCTAGGTTGGGAGTGGGCTACAGGTGCCAAGAGATGGAGAACAAGGCCCAGCCCTCTCTCCTGCCTACATTGGAATGAAATTCTCCTGCATGTGTCCCTCCATGAAGCACAGGGGCACTGACAAATGAGTCCCAGCAAAAGGATGAGGTGTCTTCTAGTTGCCCAGCTTGGACATGCAAAGTCAGTTCGTACCAAACTCCCTTCCAGGACACA